ATGGATTTGGTTCCGTTTGGGTGGGGAGATGTTTCAAGAGGGTCCGTGGCACTAAGGAACTCGAAAGGAAGAAAGAAACGCATCCTGAGGAGCCAGAGAGAAATCGAAAGGGAAGTTGTGGAATGAGTGTCAGAAATCACTTCGGACCGCCAGCCAGTTATTCAGCTGTGAAGCACACTCAGCGGTGAGAAGGAGAAGTGAATTCCTATAGGAATTGAAGGTTTGGCTATTAAATTGGAAACATCTTGTCCAGGAGTTGGTGATCATACACTTTTTCTCCACTACCCAGCTCCTCGGGAACAGGAAATACCGCAAGCCTCTTCTTTGAAACGGTGAGTCTAGTTTTATAAATAAGAAAGAATCCCACTAGGTATTTATAGACACTAATGTCAACAAAAGGCTGTGTGAGATTGTTAGCGTATTTCGACTCTATTTACTGCGATGTTAAATTATCACTGTTTGGACTCTTCTAATGGCTCAACGGAATGAACCAGCAAAAACAGACTCAAGGCGTTTGCACCGGGCTCTGGAATTACCTGGTTCAATAACTATTTGTGAAGGAGAAGAAATATTACGAGAGCTAAAATAAGTTGGAAAAGAGCCACACCAAGTGCTTCACACGGGTTTCCCTAAAAGTCCATGAATTTCAAAGCTCCACAGGGTTGCGTTACAAAAAGGACATGAGGATATTAGGCTTTCTTAAGGAGCTCTGGTCCTTTGTTTGAAAATGGGGCAGGAAAGGTGAACAGGAGTGAAGCAGAGGCCTCTTGTCTGTAAGTCATGTCTTAGTTAGACAGCCATCTGACAAGCAGACTGGCCCAGAAATGATGACTGCCTTCTTACTTCTGGGTCATTCCAGCGGCTTATGGTAGTTAATAAAATCCATGATGCTGTAGTGGGTTACATATTGGGCTGCTAACTGTAAGGTCAGCAGTTCAAAACCACCAGCCACTCTATTGGAGAGAGATGGGGCGTTCTACTCCTGAAAAGAGTTTTCATACTCAAACAAGATTTAAAAACAAAAAACAAAAAACGAACTACCTACCATGAAGTCCATTCCAGCCCATGGTAGCCCGGTAAGGCAGAGTAGAACCGTGGTTTCTCAAGACTATAACTGTTTAAAGAAGTAAAGAGCCTCCTTTTTCTCCCTTGGAGAAGCTGGTGGATTTAAACCTCTCAACTTTGGTTAGCAGCCTCTGTGTAGCCATTATGCCACCAGGGCTCCTGAGAAAAGATATAGAGAAATCTAAATGAGGACACTGGTCAGTTTTGCCATCCTACTGAAGAGAAAGTGAGTCCTTTCAGAATCAGAAAGAAAGAATCCCACAACCACCAAGAAGAAAGAACCAAGCCTGAAACATAGCTGAGATCGCTGCGTGGATGGGCGGCCGAGGAGCAGGCTCAGACGACGGCACAGAACAGAGGGAGAGAGGAGCAGGCTCAGACAATGGCACAGAACAGGGAGAGAGGAGCGGGCTCAGACGATGGCACAGATCAGAGGGAGAGAGGAGCAGGGCTCAGACGATGGCACAGATCAGAGGGAGAGAGGAGCCGGCTCAGACGATGGCACAGAACAGAGGGAGAGAGGAGCAGGGTTCGGCGGTTGGCACAGAACAGAGGGAGAGAGGAGCAGGCT